GAATGATGTAAAAACGAGCGTTCTTGCTCATTTTGCTTCCGAGAAACATGCAAAACGGGATGGAAAACATGAAATTTTGCAATAATCTTGCGCCACTCTTGCACAAACCGACGATCATTTTTCTAAGTTTATAAACAACAGAAGACTGTATTTTTTCTACATAACCCCCCCTGACTTTAAAGCTGGATCCGCCCCGAATTCAAATTGCTCTTTTGGCAGGATGATCACCTTTGTTGTCTTGGGTATCTTCTCTAGCTCAGCTTGTTGCTGGCAGGCCCGGTCTATTGTGCTATTCACATTTTTTTGTATTTTCCTGATTCACAATTTTCCAGGCTCCTGCAAAATGTTCAAATCGAATGATCGATCGCATTTGCTACACGAGTCCGAGCTGTTTGCAGCATTTTGTTGCTGACCTCATCGGGTCCCACGGTTTTTTCCCGGCATTCTGATTTATACAAAATGTTCAAGTTTCTACTAAGCGTTTATTGTAGATTCAACACTTTATTGATACAAAGCAAGTCCGTGCCGTTGGAGGCAATGGAGGTGATGGTTGCATTTCATTTTTGTCTTTGTGGAGTAATGAGTTTGCTGGACCTGATGGAGGCGATGGAGGACATGGTGGGCATGTGATTTTACATGCCACTACAGATGCGAAAGACCTCTGTCAGCTTCCAACAGTGGCAAGAGCTGCCGAAGGCGGCAAAGGTAATCCAAGGAATAAGTTTTATTTACAACTGTATATGTATATCCAATGGGCCTAGTAGAGCTCGAAAATGCATTAAAAATAAATATGGGTTGATCATGTTTTTAGGAGAAAATAAAAATTGCCACGGCAAAAACGCAGACCATCTCGTGATTGAGGTACCTGTAGGAACCGTAATAAAAAACATCAATGGAAAAGTAATCGGAGACCTTTCAAAGGAAGGTTTAATGTTTATAGCTGCAAGAGGTAAGTGGTTTCTGTGTCGAACTGCATCGAAACAGGTTTGTACATTTTTTGCAGGTGGAGCGGGAGGTAAAGGAAACCAATTTTTTACAACGGATACTGAACAATCGCCAGTAATATGCGAATTTGGAGCGATGGGAGAGGAAATTGAATATTTGGTAGAAATCCGAAGCATGGCACATGTCGGTCTAGTACGTGCCTAATTTTTTAAATTCAGTGTGTTCCGAGTGTTCTTATTTTTTTAATATTACAGATCGGCTTTCCTAACGCTGGCAAGAGCTCCCTTTTAAGAGCCATGTCCAGAGCAAGACCAAAAGTCGCCTCATACCCATTCACAACGTTGAAACCTTATTTGGGTATTGTGGAATATGACGATTATGAGCAAATTGCCAGTAAGAGAGACAACTTAACACTCAAACACAATTTATCATTCATGTTCAGTTGCAGATTTGCCAGGGCTTATTCCAGATTCGCACAAAAACAAAGGTCTAGGAATTCAGTTTTTAAAACATACTGAACGGTGCATGGTTTTGCTGTATGTGGTAGACGCCTCATTAGATGAACCTTGGACGTATGTGGAAACGTTGAAACATGAATTATTGCAATTCAGTGAAAGTTTCTCAGATAGACCTCACATAATTGCGGCTAATAAAATTGATTTGCCTGGCGCCATAGAGAATGTTGAACTTATTAAAAGCAACACCGGTTTGCCTGTTATACCGGTGAGCGCAAAAACTGGCGAAAATCTTGAAACCCTCATGAGGGAAATTAAGATTATTTATGACCGCTCTAAGGAACAGCAACAGGAGTTGCAAGAAACTGATAATTAGTTATGTACATTGGCAACACTAATCTACACAACTTTTTACCTATATTAGCTGTTTTTTCACATTACACTGTACATATATCAATAAGGTAAGACTAATCTAAGGGCCCAGTAACACCAAGAAATTATTGCTTGCAATGGTTTTTAATAAATAAATGCAAATATCAGAGGCATTATTGCAATAAGTAGCAACATGATCATTTACAATAAAAAGTAATGCTCCTTAAGTAAATAGGGTAAAAAACTGTTTATAAAATTTCCGTTACAATAAGTATTGGCATTATAGCAAAAGTTATTACTCTGGCTTAAAGCAACTTACTATCGGCAAACTTCTTGGCCAATTCCAAAATCTCATCAACTGAGACGGAATTGGCCCCACTGGCTTGCGCGGAATCTGGTTTGCCTCCACCTTTACCTCCGATTTTCTGAGCAACCGACTGCACCCATTCGTTGGCTTTCAAGCCTTTCTCTATGGCCTCTTTTGGGACAGAGGAGAGGCAAAACATTTTATTAGAGTCGGAATCCACAGTAACAAACAGGGCCGCGGTTGCTGGACTTAAAGTTTTTACCTATAAAATGGATAGCGTTTCACATCCCAAAACTTTTGTTTGGAGTAGAAAAGTTACCTGTTTTAAGGCACTATCCAATGCCTTCGTATTGTTGAACGCCTTCAGTTCCTTGACCAAAATAGGCAAGTTTGGATTTTCTTTTACAAACTCCTTTATTTCATCAACAACCTTGTTCGCAATGGCTGCTTTGGCGGCGCGATCTTTATCGTCTAGATTTTTCTTTAAGTTTTTCAGATTGTTGCGGATTTCTTCTTTTTTCCAATAAGGAATTATCGCTTGCGATACTTCATCGGTTAATTCCACTATTATTCTAACGTGTTCTTTCGATTTTGCACCATCCTTGTCGGCATTTATTGACGACTTAATTTCGTTCAACCTGGATAATTCACATTTGTTTATCATCAATTGTCATGTTTCATGTACTGAATTTGAATTTATACCTGTTTTCAAGAACCTCGTTTCGTTTCAAGGCCTTTGTAGCTTCAGGACCTGTTAAGGCCACTATTCTTCTAATTCCCTTAGCAATTGCTTCTTCGTTGCTGATGACAAAATCACCAATATGTCCTAATGAGAAGAAGTATTTAAAGTTTAGTATTTTAAGAAGCTTTTGCCAAGTTGCAAAACTTGCCTGCATATTTAACATGCGTCCCCCCGCAGAACTCAATTGATGTTGAATCTCCAGCAGGTCCGAAAGGATCGTTTTCCAAGTCTTCCACAGGAATTCCTTTGATAACGAAGTGGCATTGTTAGTATTGAAATTTCTATTGAGTCGTCTGATTCGGAACGCTTTTATTGTATCTCAAGACTTACCAACAGACACAATCCTAACAGGATCCGGGTAAGTCTCCTCAAAAACTGCTCGTAAACCTCTAATAGTCTTAGCAGTTGCTAAGCTCGAATCCTTCGCATAAACCTTGGCGTTTTTGCTAATTAGATCTTTTGCACTTTGCTCAGCCTTCTTCACTTGATCTGCAGTCATTGCTCCTTTGTTGGTGAAATCGAACCTCAGTCGGTCAGGTGCGACTAGGGATCCTCGTTGATCAGCGTCCGTTCCCAAAACTTTCCTGAGCGCGTAATTCAAAATATGGGTTCCAGTGTGATTGCTCATTATCAACCGTCTTCTGTCGGCATCAATGTGCAGGCTAACTTTGTCCCCTACCCTTAACACTCCTTCAATATTGCCTATGTGGATAATATAGCCGCCTCGAACTTGTACATTCTTAACCGAAAATTCCACACTGTCGTCGTTGAGCTTCACAAGGAACCCTATCAACAAAAAACGTTAAAGTTTTTGCGTTTTCACCAATTATCCATCAATACCTGTGTCGTAAATTTGTCCACCTTGTTCTGCATAAAAATTGGTGCTGTCTAATAAAACTCCGCACTCTTGCCCTGAAGTGACTTCCTCTACAAATTGTTTGTTATACCTAAGAAACAAAAAGTAGTACGATGTTCCATAAAAATCGCAAGTAGGGAGTACCTGAGCCCTATAACAGAAGCCTCGCAAGCACCAAATTTATATTCATCATCCACATTTTGGTTCGCTTCATAATCATACTTGGGTGAATCGTTAGTCGGAGGTATCTGCCGATTTTGGAGCTCTGTGATAGCGTGTACATCAAGATTGATGGTGTCGGCGACTCCAGTACCTTTTCCCTAATAAAATTCCACGTTAAGAAAGGTGTATACGCAAAAAATGAGCAAAAAACCTGCGAGATTATTTGCGCTTGCTTCTTAGCTTCTTCATAAGCCTCCATATTAACATTTAGGCCTTTCTCTTCGGCCATAAGCGACGTCAAGTCTACGGGAAATCCATAAGTATCATACAGTCGCCAGGCCACGTCTCCTGGCAGTTCCTTGGACTCGCCCAATTTGGTGATGGTTCTAAAAAAATAATTTATGGCTGATTTTACGGCTCAGCTCAGATTTTGCTCGTATAAAAAACCTCCAACTCAATCTGATCCTGAGCAATAGGTAAAAGTGGCCCAATTGCGTAGCTAAATATATGATGTTCAATTTGCATTTATTTATTACCGATTCAAAAGGTTTCGTCCTCTGCTCAAGGTTTTTAAAAACTGCGCCTCTTCTTCATTAATCGTTTCTATGATATACTGGGGATCCTTCTTCACTTCTGGGAACGTATCGCCTAAAATTTCAACCACAGTGTTCACGAGAGTGGAAAAAAATCCTGGTTTGGCATTGAGTTTTTCTGTGGCATATCTTACGGCTCTTCGCAGGATTCGTCTTAGTACATATCTAGAAGGGAAGAACATTGTTCATGTGCGAAGGTATAAAAATTTGAAGTGAATGGAATCTCACCCCCGGCCCGTATTGTCAGGATTGCCGCCATCAGCTAAAGCTATAGTTAAAGTTCTCGCATGATCAGCTAGTACTCTATAGGCCATATCTACCCCATCTTTGTCATCATCTCCCACTCGTCCTAAAACGATGATTAAATATTTAATCTCAAATACCACAGTAATTCGTTTTGGTATGAATAGATTCTTCAAATGAATATCCAACCTTGATAGGGTGCGGCGCCAGTTCCTCTGTGAATAGCCTCGAAAAAGGGCATAAAAAGATCCGTATCGTAATTTGACCTAAAAAATTCAACACACCATATGGGTTCACAAAACCAAAACTTTTATAATTATAAACTGCTCACCTTTTGTTCTGTATCACCGATACCAACCGTTCTAATCCCAGCCCGCAGTCGATATGTTTTTTGGGCAAAGGCTTCAATGTGCTATCTGGTTCTCGGTTGTATTGAATGAATACAAGATTCCAAATTTCCAGAACATCTGGATCATCCTTAAATGATTGCCTAATAAGAACTTCGTCCGAATCTAGCCACGCGAACTAAGCTGTTACCATATTGACGAGTTCAGGAACACTGCGTCCGCCAATTCTGTCGAAATGCAGTTCAGAACAAGGTCCACAAGGACCAGTTTCTCCCATTTCCCAAAAATTATCCTTCATTGATCCGGGAATCACATGGCTGGGAGCTACTCCAAGTTTCAGCCAAATCTAAGCCAAATTAAATATTTGTTGCATATGTGTATCTTAATTGCTTAACTGTTCGATTTTCACAAGCATATCATTCATTACCTCTTTGCACTCATTGTCAGGTTCCAATCCAGATTTCGGATCTCCTCCAAAATACGTAACATAAATTCGGTCGGCCGGTAAACTCAGTTTTACTGTTAAAAACTCCCAAGCCCAAGTACAAATCTCCTTTTTAAAATAGTCTCCGAATGACCAGTTGCCCATCATTTCGAAAAATGTATGGTGATAAACATCTTTGCCAACATCATCCAGATCATTGTGCTTTCCTATAATTGAGGTACCCTGTCGATGTTTAATTCTTAAAGTGTAAAAACCAAAAACTCACCTCCAGCCCTGATACATTTTTGTGTGTTAACAGCGCGAACCAGCTTGGATAAGTCGCTATTGGGATCGACAGTCCCCAAAAAGATTGGCTTAAACTGGTTCATCCCAGCGTTAGCAAACAGCAAAGTGGGATCATCCAGAGGAATGGTGGATGACGAGTGATGGTACACATGATCTTTTTCTTTGAAAAAGTCAATGTAGGCACTGCGAACTTCTTTAGCAGTCATGTTGGAGATACTCATTTTAACAATTGCTCGGATGATTGTCTGTAATGAAAAGAGTTCCTGTGGGGTTAAAAGTGCGTTTGATTCGGCTTGAACGGGGACATGATTTGCGCTAGAAAGCAGAAAAACAAACGTTCAATAAAACCTTCACAACTTCGATTAACAGGTATATTCCCTAAACTGGTTTGTGCAAGGAAATAATGCTTAAGCTCGTTCAAACTACTGAACTGGTCATTTTGAAAGCAGAATTTCCAGTTGAAAACTTTAATTGCTTTCACCACAGCTCTGAACGAACTATAACTTAAGGAAGACATACTTTTTGTGTGTTTTTAAAGAGTATTTTTTCGTCAATCAAATGGCAATTCTCTGCTTTAACTCCTTCGCAAGTTGTCCCCATATGGGGGGTCGACATACATGATGCAACTGGAGCTTAGGTTACTTATTATGAATGCTGCCGGTTTCTCTACAGCATTGCAGTTGAAAACATATGCTAAATATCCAAAAAAAACATGGCAAATACTGTGTAACTTACATTACTCACAAAGTCATACGTGTTATGCAGAAATAATTCAATTCTTGACAAAGTTGCAAGCAGATGGAGGCTAGAAGTTGGTAGAAGAACACTATTTGAGGTTAGAATTTAAGTTTTTCTTTACTACCACAGATCACAGATAACCTCTGTGATCTGTGTTTACCACATTGCTGGGATGATTTTAAGAAAAATCGTAATTCAACTTGGGACTTTAATCTTGGTACTTATCAGCTCCCGATATTGGTTAATAACAGTTAATAATGAATTAAAAGGGCATCTTACGATTATACAGATGTATATTGGATTGCCGCTCGGAAAGTTACTTATTGATAATATTTCCACTGCACGCCAATTACCGAATTTGTTTCAAAAATGTCAATTATCTTTCTTTCTGCAGATAAGTTTACCTTTTTCAAATAACTTAAAACGAATTGAATTACCCGCGTTTTCTAAACCGGAAACTCGAATGACATTGATATAGACACTTCATGCCGATCGATCCAAACTCCACAAAGCCAAACCGCAAATTAACCAAAAAATCCAAACAAACCCATAGACGAACAGTCGCGATTTCAAGTGTTGGATTTTGAGAAAGTTCAATGGGTTCTCCAGGCGGGCGTGGTCGTGGTAAACGAGGAGGTTCTGGACGAGGTGGAATAATCAAAAGAGGTGCAAGCAGGGGATCTTTTAACGGTGGAGCCCCATACGGCCGTCCCATGCGGGGCGGGCCTATGGGGATGAGAGGAGGTATGCGACCCCCTATGCTTCCACCGCCGATGCGGGGCGGAAGAGGGATGCCAGGCCCCCCAAGGGGCATGATGGCGCCGGGACCTAGGGGTTTGCCTCCGCCATGTTTAAGGTATTTATTATTTATCTACGTTTTAGTTTTCTTAGGTAAACTAACACTTAGTCTTTATGCAGAAAACTCTGTGAAATTCAGGTCTTTTCCGCGCATTTTCGCAAAAAAACACCGCTAAAAAGGTATCTGTACAATGATTTTCTTTACGGCGAACCGCACTAATTACAACAGGCAATTTAACCAGATTTACAAAAGTTATTAGTAAATATATAAAGTTTTATAATATTGTGCCTGCGTAGTGTATGTTTCCAGTTGATTTCACTAGGTGATTTTCTCAGGCCGCCACCAATGGCAGGAATGCGATCGCCACCACCTGGAATGCGTCCACCGCCACCCCCAATGATGATGATGCGCCCTCCAGTACCTCCACTTTTGAGAGGCGGTTTTGGACCAATCAGAGGCATGAAACCCGGCCGTTTCCAAAGAGGTGGCAACTTTGGAGGAGTGAGAGGTGGAAACGTTATGAAGAAAAACCGACCCAGTTTGAAAATGATCGATCTGAACAAACCGTGGGTAACGGCTGCAATAAAGTCAGCGTTTCATATGAAAGATAAATTGTTGGCGGCTGCGAAACAAACTCAGAACCAAGACGATTGGGCCAAATACAGGGATCAAAGGGAAAAATGTACGAAAATGTACCAGGAAGCTGAGGTGGAGAATGGGGGGCAGGTGGAGGTGCGTATCCCACAGCTAATGCCCGAGGGTAAATTTAAACGAAATACGGCACCTATTGATTATACAGCAGACGTCAACTTATAGGTATTTCTCATTGAATATCTCTATTGAATTTACAAAATCTCCACCATTGGAGAGCACTTTATTCAACTAAATCAATTCCCTATGGTGGAGCATTCTGTTTTATTAGGCGAATTTTTTATGTCTAAATCGTTTAATGCGCAATTATATCTATCCTCCTGAGTTTTTTTTCAGTATATTTAATAATCATTGACAATTAGAAAATCCACATTGAATCTAATTAGTTGGTCATCAACGTACTTGAATCATGAGGAATACCTATAACATGCAGGGGCGGACCCAGCTTTAAAGTCAGGGGGGGTTACGTAGAAAAAATACCTTCTTCTGTTATCTATGAAATTAGAAAAGAACGCTCATTTGTACATCATTCTAGACAGAAATAAATAACCTTTTTAGTAAGTGAACCATGGATGGGGAAATGTTGGCAGTTTTCTCAAAAAATGCTTGAATTCAAGAAGTTTTAGGTTTGCGTGGGTTTTTTTTGAGTTGCAAAATCAACTTGAACATGACGCTGCTTTTTTCGAAGTTTCTCAAAAACCATTTGAGCCACAGAATTCGTTTTTGCATCGTTGGATATAGAATTGAATAAGGGG